AAGTCCAGGAATGCTTTGCTGACTAGGGGTTCGTACACAGAAATGTGGCCTCTGTAATACCACCTGCCAACCAGTTATCACTGTGGTAAATATGCATATTCCATCTAATTGTGTAAGTACGTATATGCCTTGTTTCTCAAAAAACTCACAGGCAGAAACTCTCAAGTCCTGTAACAGAAAAATGAGATATATGCATGAACTTAAATCTCACACGGATACAGTTCTTAACCTATGAATTGAGAGCATTGGACTTCTCTGCAAGAAATCAGTAGATATAGTTGCACTAATTAAAGGGAGAAAGTGTTCTGAAGTTGTAGGACTTTTTAGCATAGCCTCTGCTTTTTGGCTTTTAAAATAATTCCCTGGAATTTATTTTTTGAACAAGCAGATCCAAAGCTATTATTGGCTTAAATGGTATCTGAAGAGAAATGCTCAGTGTATTTTACCTTTGATCTTACTGTGAATTACACATAATCATAGAATCAAAAATAGTTTTGGTTGGAAGGGACCTTTAAAGGTCATCTAGTCCAACTCCCCTGCAGTGAGCAGGGACATCTTCAACTCAATCAGGTCGCTCAGAGCCCCGTCCAACCTGGCCTTGAATGTTTCCAGGGATGGTGCATCAACCACCTCTCTGGGCAACCTGTGCCAGTGCCGCGCCACCCTCATAGTAAAGAATTTCTTGCTTATATCTAATCTAAATCTACCTTCTTTCAGTTTAAAGCCATCACCCCTTGTCCTGTCACTAGATGCCATTGTAAAAAGTCTTTCTCCAGCTTCCTTGTAGGCCCCTTCAGATACTGGAAGGCTGCTATAAGGTCCCACTGGAGCCTTCTCCAGGCTGAACAACCCCAACTCTCTCAGCCTTTGCTCATAGGAGAGGTGCTCCAGCACTCAGATCAGTTTTGTGGCCTCCTCTGGATCCACTCCAATAGGTCCATGTCTTTCTTGTACAGTACCATCCCTCTGTGTTAGCGTGCTCTAGTATAGTCCAAGGTTACACATAGATTATGTACAGCATCCTTTCAATTACAAGAAAATTAAAAATACTAGAATCTACACTAGATTTATAAATTCTAGAATTCTGTATAATGTAGAATTATAAGTACAACATAAAAAAATTTAATTGACACAAAACCAGTCATAGTATAGTAGCTATTCAGGAAAGTTGCTGTATCATTAGTTCACGATAATTTGCAGAACCTTGATCAAGTCAGGTGAGCGATCAGCACTATCACATTAACAATTTAGACTTTTGAACAAGGTGCTCTAACCAGATTTTCTCTCTCTTTTTCTGTACCCTTTCCCTCTTTTTCTCCTTCCCTTGCAACTATGCTACTTACTTACTTGTTGCCTTCCCTACATCCTAAAATATTTGCATTTCTTCTCTAGGACCTTCGTTTGCCCTGACACTCTGGAGAACTGCTTGTCATGTCTTTATTTCACCCACATTGTGACTGATTCCTTGCTTACTTCTCAATAGAGGGAAGAGTAGGTGAAGGGAGAGGACAGGGGTAAGGGCTTCGGTTTGTTTGCAGTTTTACAGACTTATGCCTGCCCCCTTTTTTCTTCTCTTCCCTTCCTCACTCCTTGTCTCCCTCCCTCCCCATCAATACTTCAAAAATCATTCCCATTCATGTTGTGTGCGCGCACACGCTGGGAGAAATTACAAGTGCTCTGCTCCAGGTTGCCTTGACAACTTCGAGGCATCCCTGTGCGTGCAGACCGGTGGCACAGTGAAGTTTCCCAGGCCCCCTGGGGAGGGGGAGGGAAGAGGAAGAGAGGAGGCCGAGGTGCCGGAGCCAGCAGCCATGTGGAAGAGAGAGCAGCGAGCAGGATGAAAGGGGCACATACATCTCCCGCGGGATAATGGGAGTTTTGCTGGCTGCCTGTGAAAGGACACACTGAGGGTACAATGGTCTGTGACACATGAAAGCTTTGGAGCGAACTTTATTGCTTCTCCACTAAGGACCCTTCCAGGGTCCTATTCAGCTCTAAGAAATCTTGTCAACATCTTAAAATATAAAGAAAACAAATCCCCTCATTTCCTCATGTTTTAAAAACAGATTTAAAATAAGTTTTAGATAATTCTTGATGGTGGTATGTGGGAAGCTTTTGCAGTTTCAGCCCCGGATGGTACTGAGTGTCCTTCTTGTGTGTTCCCTGAGTTCCCATTAACTTCAATGGGAGGGAAGGCTGCCCAGCAGCTCCCCAGTTAGGGCCCTCTGAGGTGAGAACTTGCTTCCTCCTTATATGGCTTTCATTCATACTTAGGCCCGTCAGCCCTCTGCTTTGAAGGCTTGCTGCCATACATGCCATGAGCGGTTAGAGCTCAAGAAGAGAGAAATTGCTGTTCTCTACTTTCAAGCTGAGGAGTGATTTATATATGACAAGCAGGAGTAGGAATGAGACTGAGCAACCTAGAATAAGGCACCGCGTAGTCACAGCCAGAGTGTACAATAGGAAACCAAGCTGGAAAGCAGCTTATAATAAAAGAGCATGACTCTTGCTCCCTGACATATCACTTGCACATGGTTCACCAGTCAATCCCAGAATCCATCCAAAAAAGAATAGGATCACAAGCTCTAATCCTTCAACACAGCAGTCTTTAGTGGTAAGACGTGCCCTGCACTGACTCCTAGTGATTTTTGGAAAGTAGGAGACTCAACCCACTATCAAGTGTGGAGTGCAAAGAGAGATCAGGCTTGGTGAAAGCAGTAGTTGAAAGCTGTTGCCTGCTGTAGCTGATCCTACTTCGGCAGGGGGTTAGACTAGATGACACACAGAGGTCCCTTCCAACCCCTACCATTCTGTGATTCTGTGATTCTGTGATTCTGTAAGTACATATGCCTGCAAATGTTCTACAAAGACAGTGCTCAGCAGCTGGTCCCGAACCTATTACCTTGCCAGGGCAAGATGCTGGGAACTGACTGATTTAACATCTGTGCATTTCCAAACTTTCCTACCAAACCTTATAGGTTAACCTTTTCATGTTCAGGTTGTAAGTCTTAGCTAAAATAAAAAAGCACTCAGCCATTGCCTCTACTCTAGAAATAGCAAGTGAGAAAAAAACCCCTGCAATTAGAATATATAAAGTTTATTCAACTTGTATGCATGCATTCATTTTCACTTTTAAAATTAAGCTCCATTTTAAATTACCTACTGATACTTTAAAAATAATATTTGTAACAAATGCTTTCTGACACAAACATTGTGCAAACTCAATAGCAGATGTGAAACTCTCCAAAAATTAATATTATTTTCACATATTTGTAAATTATATTCACATTGTTTTGCATTTGCATTAGTTTGAGGACTCTAAAATATAATCGATTCTCCATCCACCAACAAGAGGGTTATAGGACTTATTTCTCCTTTGTAAAGATAAGAAAACTATTTATTACTTGGTAGTATCCACCATTTTCCTCACAGAACTTCAAAACATAGATGTAAACTTACCACAAGCATTATAATCCAGTTTTACAGATGGAAAACCTGAGCAGAGAAATGATCAAGTGCTTCAAATGTTTGATTTCCATCTTCTGTTTCTTACTGTGCCAGTAACACTTTGTTTTTCCACTACATTGGCACACGTAAATCAAGCAAATCAGGGTGCAATTCTAGTGATCCTCCTTTGCAATTCACTTTGTGGGTACAAATCTTACTGGCTCTACTGGCTTCTGCAGAAAGGACAGGCAAACACTAGCTGCAATGAAAGGGTAAGTAAGTAGCATGTGATTGGTTTTATACTTTGAAGATCTGATCAGCGCCTGGAACACATCCTTGATCTCAGTTACATCAGTGACTAGTGTACTTTCACTGTAACTCCAGTAGCACATATTTCGTCCCTTAGAAGACAGGCAGAAGTATGATATATCTACAACGACTTGAGAAAACTTGTAGTTTCGCCAGGTCTTGATTCTAGCTTTATGTTTCCATACTATTTATATTCATACAGTCCTGTTGCCTTGTTTTAAATGCTTTCTCCTCTGAGATAGGTACCCTGAGCAGAAGGTGCTCAGCCTTCACTGTATTTCATATGTTCAAAGATGGCATCTAGATCTGTGTGGGCAGTCTGCAGAAGTGTGTTCTGAGACAGATGGTGTAGCCCTCCAGATGGAGTATGGGGAATTTATTGAATACTACTTGAAATTTTAAGGAGAAGGAGCAAAGGGGCATAATAAGGAGAACACTAACTGCACCTGCTTGGTACAAGAAAGAGCATTTCCATCTCTGACAGTCCTCATGAGACACTGTTTCTCAGAGCTGCAGAGCTCTTTAAGCCCTGTTGGTGCAATCTGATGAACAAAACACTTTAGCAGACGCCATAGTGAGCACCCTAGTATTCACATTAGATCAGATGCATTAAGACAAGCCAAGAATTAGGATTAATGTCGCAAGTTTTGCAAAGCTTATAAAAGACTCTAAATGCTTATTCATACAACAGTAAGGATTTTCTGAAACAAGCTAACAGCATTTAATCTGTTTTAAACTCCCATGGCTTGGGACAGAGGTAAACTGAGGTCATTCCACTAGGAACTGGAGAAAAATCGTCATACACATTAATTGTAGCAAATATTATCAGCATTACTTGAGAGTACTCTATTTTCTGTCTTACTGTTACAAATCAGATGCAGCACATTTCTAAGGCACATTTTTCAGACTATGGTAACTATGCTAATCAAAAACCATGAACTGACGCACTGGAATACAGTGAGTACCACACTGCAACAGATCAATAATCTTTGCTTTAAACAAGGTGTTAACAAAGCACAGAAAGCGGTAACTCTTGCAACAGCAAATTCTGTAACAACAAGCATTAGGGGTGGGATGAGAATACAGGGGCAGTACAAGCTGCAAAAAAGGGCCAGCTTACCTTGGGTAGCTTTAAGTGCACGGGTCATCAAAACTCTTCCCACAAAACCATTTTCATCATGCTGAGTTTATACTCTTTACTCACAAGTGTATGAGGTGAATGTCCTTGTGCTTAAATTTACTAGGAATTGCTGCCCTGGATAGTAAAGCATCAGGGAAGATGGGAGTCCGAGCAGTAGTCTACTACATGAGTACTACGATCATTGCTGTGCTGATTGGTATAATCATTGTGGTCATCATCCACCCTGGGAAAGGTACTAAGGAAAACATGCACAGAGAAGGCAAAATTGTGCAAGTGACAGCAGCAGATGCCTTTCTTGATCTAATCAGGTATGGCTATGATATTGCACATTTTCTGTACAAATAGCAACAACGGTAATATTTAGAGTCACATGAGAACAGAAGTAGAGAATTTTAGACAGTGACTGCAGAAACTAGCCAAAATTCTTTCAACTGTGTGATACCAATACCTCTAACCCGTACAAGGCTACAGAAGAATACTTTGATTTATTTTCAAATCAAGCTGTAGCAAGGGAAGAAACTGGTTTTAATATTGAAAGAAAGATTCTTTCTTTCATACACAAAAGAAAGACTTCTGTTCTGCTATCTGCATGGGTCTTTTCTCCTCCTTCCATAGCACAATCTTTATTACCAAATGCCTCTGCTTTCCTTTACTTCCAGCTTTTGACAGTTTTCTCACTTCACTTCAATCCCTGATTTAGCTATTCATCTTAATTTTGAATTGTAGCCACCAATCTGGGTGCATCTACTCAACTTGTTAAATTGCATGGATGGGAAATAAATTCCAGGAACAGGCAAGTAAAATGCTTGAATTAGAGGGGCACAGATATGAAATCTTGTTTTCTCCTTGCTCAGAGACTCTGCAATGCCTCTTTTATAGAGCTAATGTGTCACAGATGTATTCCAGGGAGTAGGGAAGCTGAGGTTTTTGAACTCAGGAGCTTTTCCACAGGTAAAGCCACCAAAATTTTGTGTTCCACTAACCCATTTGGAGAAGCCAGAGACATGGAGAAAGACCTCCAAGAGTCATGCTGCCAGGAAGGGGGACTTCAGAAAGACCCATGAAGAGGTTTGCACTCAGATTCCTCAAGATTTATTCAGTTAGGCTGCTTCTAGTTTCCTCAGAAATGACATCATTCTGGAAAGCAAGCAAACGCCCATATGTAAGAAGTATACACACACATATATAATTATATGTGTATGTGTTATTATTAAAGAATACTCAAAACTTCAGAAATATTTATTTCACTATCTGAAGACTCTGAATCAAGTGATAAATCTCATGATATACTAGGCTACGTGACTGCAAAAATTGTTCCAGAAGTAGAAATGCATTAAATATTTAGAAGTTCTTTATCAATCTGGATTCAGAAAGCATTAATAAATACAAAATACAAAATCGGCACTGACCCACAGAGCTTTGTTCCTTCAGTATTTTAGCTAATATTCTTCTCCAAAACCAGACCTGCTATACAATATTGGATAAAGAGATTGCAGTTGCCAGGATCTATCCAACCCTACTACATTTTGTCCTGACAATTCTACCCAGGCCAATGCTATATGCAAAGCTCTACTTCCTGTATATATAATTGCATACTTGTCTTAGGATTCTTTTGAAAATTAGCTCACCAATTCTTTTGTTAGATGTGTGCCCACTTCAGATATTATTAGAGTCTTATTACTTCTCATGTTATTTTCTCTCTTTTTCCCAGAAATATGTTCCCTCCAAATCTGGTGGAAGCTTGCTTTAAACAGGTAAAAATGTTTTGTTATTTCCAACTACGGCATAATAAATTAAGAAATTGAAATGTAACAGCATTTTCTTTAGGAATATCATGCACTTGTACTTACAGCAGAAACAAATCTGATGTATGCTGTCAGTTGCCAAAAATACACAAACCAAACCAAACCAAACCAATCAAATCTGTGCTTTGTTTTCCATCACATTGTCTCAGTATTTGCTACAAGAAGAGAAGAAAACACCTGGCACAGCAGAACAAAAACCAAGTTTTATCAAAATGCCAAATTCATAAGTCTACAGCAAGTAAAGTCAAAACAGAATTTACTCTTCAAAAACAGTGTTACGTTAATTTGGGAGACACTGAGATATGCACCATATGTACAAAGACTGTAAGATATTTCAAGAATATCATGTGAGAAATGTGCATAGGTTCGAAAGAGGAACAACTGTTTTGTGGATTTCAATAGCAAAATCAAACCAGAGGACTTCCTGTCACCTATGGCAGAAGTGCATAGGAATGCTTTTTCTGTGTTGCTTCCCAAATTTTTCTATCATTAGCCTGATCCTGATGGCCTTAGCTGTTCTACACAGAAAATAGTAGTGACTAGTCACATTCCTTTTTTTAAAAGGAGGACATTACAGATTCAGTGAAACCTATAGTGTGTATTTCCATAATGTCATTGCTTTCTTTTGACCCCACAGACTATCTTGAACTGATATTATCTACCAGTTATTGCTGTAGCAATAAAAAAAAAGCTGAAATGCAGAGGTCAAGAAGCAAGAGGGTAAAGCAGAAACTTTTCGAAGTCCAGCTGAGTTACATCTTGCAGAAGAATTGAAACAAAACAGTAACACTTCCTTCAGTCATATAAACAGATACCAAAACAAGCAGTGACTTTCTGATTAAAGATTTGGTCAATGTTAAAGATAATCTAGACCCAGGTCCAAAACCAACAAATGCTATGCCTCTGTTTTCAGTAAGGATGATGATGAACTCAGGACAGTAATGCAGAAGAGAGTTACAGAAATACAGAAGTCTATATCTAAACTAGAAACAAAATTCTAAAAAATTAATGTAAGAAAGTCAGTGAATTATATCTCCTTTATCTCAAAATAATGAAAGAAATTGGGCATAAAGTTACAGAACTTGCAGCTAGTATTTTTAAGAAAACGCTCAAGTTGGGAAGTTATTATATATAACTGGTGAAAGTAATCATAGTGCCTTTCAAACTGCAATTTCAAAAAGATTTGGGAATTTATTTAAGCAGTTAATATTAGCTCGACCTCAGTAGTACTGAAAGATATAAGTACCCTGAAGGAAAGTGTAAAGACTATGTAATAAGTGAAAAAGAAAAATACATTAAAAAAGAGACAAATATATGAAAAGAAAAGATAAAGAATAAGACAAGTTTCTGAAACATATATTGTACCAGAAGAACCATCTTTCTTCCATAAGATTGCCCATTTTCTTTTTTTTTTCTTTTTCTTGTGTGCCAGAAGTGCAATGGATTTAATGTCTTTGGATTTCTGTAAAACTGAGTTTTAATTATAAGTGCAACAAAATAGTTGAGCGGGGGATAAGATTATTGTAAAAATTGTAAAATTTGTGGAAATTTTAACGGAAGTTGCTGCAGGACTGAGCACACCTCAGTTGATATTTTTATGAATGACATTACTGTAAGATGCACACAACAAAATGTACAGATGACAAGAAAGTCCAAGCACTTTGTATTGAGATATATAACAAGTGCTAAAGAAGATGGTGTGTCCCTAGCACACTGTAATACTATGAAGTCACAACAACAAGGTGAATTGTCTCTTTCATACATTGGCATGCTTGGTTATCTCCTAGTAGCTCTTCTTTACGGGTGAAATAAACATTTAGAAATTAACAGTAATTTCTGTTTTGAGATGGGAAGTCATCATTAGGAAGGAAAAAAATAAACCAACAACTCCTCTATTTCAGCTCCAGGACATATATTAGGTGATATAACTCCAAGAGAGGAAATAAAGCCAGAGCAATGTAACTATCTGGAATATTGAGTATACTCTGGTCATTACATTCTTAGCAAGATTCATGCAAAATGAGCACAATGGTGAGAGGAGTTGCTGGGATTGTCAAAAGAACACAGCATATAAAGCAAAATGAAACTCGATTTTAAAACTATTCAGGTCAAAAAAACAAAGTGGGAACCGAGCTGTATAAGATAAAGAACAACATTTATACAATAAGTAATGGAAATCACTATGACTGAATTTGAAGTGGGAATTAGAAAGCTTTTTAACCTGTATTACCTAAAAGGTGAGCTCCTGGAAAAATCTTCATTTAGGAGTCGTGGGAGCAAACTACCTCATCAGCTTTAAGATACAGCTTGAAAAATTCTTTTGCTAAAGTATCCTACAGCAACAGAAAACTTAACTTAGTGACTAGCAGTCCTAAATCTATGTTCTTAATTAAAGATGTCCTGTAGATTCTGTTTACATTAAGTATATTGTATTTCTCATGTGCTCAACAGCTTAAAGGGATTTCCAAAAAATGGTTCAAAAAACAGGAAATGTTTCATGGAAGTGTTTTCTGACTTTCAGCAGCAGCTATGCTTGCTGAAGCACCAGGATTTTAAATTTGTCATACCTTTTAAATCAGGTACCAAACCCTAGGTTTTTAAGTATAAGTTGTTTGGTTGTAGCAGATTTGTTAAACTATAACACTTTGCAGGAGAAACAAGTATGTGTAAGATTCATAGGTATCCTGAAGACTTTTTACCTCGGACTCCATAACTTTCTTTTCAAAAGTTTACATCAGATTTTTCACATGTTTCTCAGAAGATTTATGAAGAAGGATGATTCACCTGGGTCAAATCGTGTTCTGTAACACCATGTTTGCTGGCCCAAACAAGGAACAGACTACTGCTCATAGTCATCCACACTCAAAGGTTAATACTGATTCAGAGCTTTGCGCGCCTGGAAACTATCACTGGCATATGCACTCCACATTTGAATCACATCTTTTGATATATTAGCTGCTCACATTCCATCTTGTAGCATCCTTGGGCAGGTTTCTTTCCTGACCGAGATCTGCATTGAAATCTACTGAAAGGTTTTTCTTTCTTTATCACCCTGGCCAGCAGATAGGTCCTCTAATGACTGTGTTGGTACACACAGCAAGCTGTGAACCTATTACTTTTCCCAAAAATAGCAAGCACTTCCCAAAGCAGCTCCACTAACACACAGGACCAATTATCTTTTCTGAAGTTTTTCACCTCAAAAGATCAACTTTTATTCAAATTTTGTAACACCAAGACATGGAAAATCATAATTTCCTTCATATAATTAACTTTAATGAAGTAAAGTTGCTTATCTGGCTGTGGAATTGCTCTCCTGCAAGTTGAAATGGAGCTGTGTGGAGAGGGCAACCAAGGTGGGGAGGCCTTCTCGATGGAGTTGGAAAAGCCTGCATAGGCTTGCTGTTGGGAGAAGAGTCATGAGGAAAACTGGGACATATTTAGGAAGAATCTTCCTAAATTTTCTGCTGTTCCTCATTCAGACTTCTGGTCCTTTGGATTCCATTTCCTGCTCTTCTTTCCCAGTAACTCTGTGAGGCAAACAAAGCTGCCTCCTCTTGCTTCTTCTCCTCCTTCTCCATCTTGGCACATTTTCTTCCCCCGAAACAGGGAGAGCTGTGGAACAAAATGCCCCTTCCCATTCAAAAAGGACTCCTCATTGTGGATCCCAGAAGCCAGGAGGAGCCCCTGTAGGAAAGAGAGTCCACAGAAAAAGCTAAGGAAATTTTTTCACTCAAACCTTTCAGCTGAATCAGCAGAACCATTTCAGGCATTCAGCACCATGCCCCAGCAAAGTCTATGCAGACAAAGAGCCACCCTTGCGTAGCAGGTCAAATTCAGAAGAATAATCTGGAAAATGTTGGGGTTTAGCTTCACTCTGCTCTTCACTAGTTACTCCCTCTCTCCTTGTGAGAGACCAAAATCCCTTGTGCACTCTGTCTGTATCAGGACCTCCTCCCATTAAATCAGTGGCAGATAGCGATCACTGGCAACAACAGCTTGTTAATCCAAACCGCATGTGCTCTGATGCTGGTTGCTACCTTCGTTATGCACAAATCATTTGGGGACTTTGTGATTTTTATCAGTAATAGGAGAATCTAATAAGACTGACAGCAGAAAAATATTCCACACATACCTAAAATCAGATTACTTTGTTCAAAGTTTTATCTATACCATTATAGTCACCCCCAGTTTAGGGATATATATAAAAAAATCTCTGGATTTATCTTTCAGCTCTGGCCATTATGTCTTAATTTCTCTTTTTTTGTTAAATTCAAAATGCTATCTAACCAGGGGCTAAGTAGTTGTAAGCACTCTTGTTAAGCAGATACTGCTTTTTAACCTCTTGTTCTCTGTGCTGTGCTCTGGGGATATATCGTAAGACAAAAGAAACACAAGTGAACTTCGGCCATCAAGCCAAACAGAATACAACGATTTGGGGAGGGTCTGTTGTGAATAGGTAATTTGATGCCAGCTGAAGCTTAAAGAACTGGAAAGGTGCATCTGATAGCTGCATTTATTCTGAGCTATTTTTAATTAAATATTCTTTCCTGAACTCATCCTTATTAAGGGGGTTGGAAGTATTAATCAAACATCCAGACATGAATACTAATTAATGCATATTCTTCATGATAATTTTGGCTAGTTAAGATATACTTTAACTTCTATTATAAGCTCTTTTGCAGACAATTTAGAATACTTTCACACATGTCCACATGGAAGGGAAAGAAATAGTGAATTAGGAAGACGGGATAGCACTGCATTATTTTAATTTCTTTTCATTTTTTAGGCTTCCGTTTAAGCCAACTAAAAACTGCATCATCATATAGACTTAGCACAGACAGTGCTAATTATACTATCTCAGAGTACTGATCATAAATGACGAGTTTTCAGAGAAGTTACCCAAGCAATTACCTTGTCTGCAAGTTAACCACTGGAATGTGCTACTGCCATGTTGTAATGTTGCCTCTTAAAAAGTCATGCAATATATTCAAGTCAAATTACTGTGGGTATTTTGTACTACTAATGAAAACAAAATAATAATGAAAATGTAAACAACTATTTCATTATATTATGCAATAGTATTGTCTATTTCAGAAGCAGATAACTTAATTAAAAATAATTTTAAAGCTGTTCATTAGTACTGTACCTTGTAAAAAAGTCCAGAAATGTAATTATTTTTATATTTTACTTGGAGATATGTTGTTCATAGAAAGCTACTAATATTAATAGGTTCCAAATAATATTTACCTTGCCCCTTATTTGTTCTTTATACATGATCTTAAGGAATTACAATGAGTATTTTGCATCTAAAATCTTACCAGGCAAAAATACCTCTGCCTGGAGACAAAATGCACCAAACATCCTCAGAAATGACAGAACCTCAGTGGTATTGTCTAGCCCATCACAATTTATCAGTGTAAGCATGTGGACTTCCAGCAGAACGCAACCAGCTCTTCTGAGACCCGTAAGCCTACAATCTGTTACATGAGCAGTTTTTCTTTGTCTAATTTCTTCCATTACTGAATGTTGCAAAAGAACAAGGATCTTCAGAATCACTGTGTGATATTGAAATGACAGTTTGAGCCACATGAACAGCTGATAACTCTGATTCCCATGAAGATCAAGATCTCCCTGAAAGTAAGAATCTCAATGATCACAAAATGATCTCTGATCACCCGTTCCTCTGCAGAGCAGTAATAGTCAACTCTGCTACTACCTCATCTATTTCAAAACCTTCGACATTTTCTGTCATCTTGAAGGTAGTCTTTCATCCTGTCACTCCCCATAAACAGTTGGCTTTTTCACCATTCTGCACACACAAAATTTGTTTTACGGTGGTCAAGCAACCTTGTGTTTTGCGGTTAGTCTTTAGGCTCAGATTCCCATTTTGAACCTCACTGTAAATGACTTTTCTCCACTGCTCTGGAAGGGGTTCTAGAAAGACTGTTCTCCCCAGTAACATTTCTGAATACTTAACTCTGACCAACAGGGTGAGTCAACAGAGAAGATCTACATCTCTGTGTACCAGTCTAGTAGCTGAAATGGAAACGGACTTTGCTAAGCGAGGTCCTAAAATCCTTATTATACCCCTAAAGAGACTTGACTGATAAAGAGTTGAAGGTATCCTCCTGCTAAGACAGAATTCCAGAATCAAAGCACAAAAAAAGCTGAATATGCTTATTACAACCTAAAATTATTTCTAACTGGGTTTTTAAAAGTAAGAAACTTCATAGGATTGTGCTTTCTCCACTGTGGTTGCCAAACTATTTCTCAGAGCCCTGTCACAGTTTTTGAGCCCAATGGCCAATTCCAACCTAAATTGGCATGAGGGAGGCAGTTCTCAGACAAATTAAGAGTGTGCTGCCGCTGAAAGAAAAGCAGTTTATGACTTATTTCCTGGCTTATTCCAACAGGCAGGAGCCAACCAGCGAGTCAGCACACATCTAACACTAACAGCTGTATCACATGCTGCTTTTGACCTAGTCAAATAGGTAGCAATGAGAGGAGGACTGAGGGCAATAGAGGAGAATCAAGACAAAGTCATTTATGATGTGGATAAGTAAAAGAAAATGAACAGGAAATTTGGCGGGAAATTAGCCTTCAGTTCCAGTCCTCATTAAGCAGCTTGCTTTTCACATTTGTCTAATCTGTATGCCCACAAATCCAGCATAATTACACCCTTCAGATACTTGCATTAAGAAATTTTTATGTAAGTTTTTCTTCTACTGGAAAACAGTAATAAAAATACATGTATAACACAATTATCGCACCAGTACAGATTAAAAAAAAAAATTAGAAGTGTTTGATGTACAGTGTTATGCAGCAATTTAACATTCCTGTAAGTATCAAATTAAAAATCCTTATTGACAACTTCTAGAAAATTTCCATTTCCAGTCTAATACCTCTCTGTCACTTAAAGAGACAATCCCATCCCTCCCTCCTTGGCTGTGTAGTTCCAGTCTCAGTGTTTTGCCCTCTCTGGCATTCATCAGTCAGTGAGCTGATTCACCTCCATAGCCTTTACCCAAAAATGGCCGCTTTTTTGCTTGACAAGTTTTCTGCCAATTTAAAAAGCAGAATTGGCTCACTGAGAGGTGAAACTAGAACTGACACAGAGGAGAAATTGTCACAAGCTGGATGTGAGTGGGTGAGGGAGTGAAACTGGGATTTTCTATGTCAGCCAACTGTCACCCAACAGCTCAGCTGTCTCCTCTAACCACAGCACAAAACAAATTTGATTTCAAATTCAGGAATATCTGACCTCCGTGGAGCCTTGTTCAGCTACATCTTATTGAGAAACTTTCAGTAAATCTCCTGTAAGCAAGTTTTATTTGAAATTCTGAAAGACTTCAAACCTTCAGGGTTATACATCAAATATGTGGAAGGAGTGCATCAAAAGTATCCAGGTGTGGAAAATCACAGAAAATTAAGTCAATGTTCATAGACACTAATACTCAGGTTTCCTGTCTTAGTCACAATTACTCTATTTCACTCAAATACTTTTGGAGTGTGTAACAGTCTCCAGTTATTACTAATAATACTACAGGACCCGGACTTCATATTTGTTTTTTGTTGGCAGGCCCGAAGGAATAAAAATCCAAAGTTGCCAAATAACCTTGACAGCAGTATCTCATTGCTTTAATAGGGTATTTAGCATTCTGAGATCTATTAGAAACATTTTACTAGTGATATGTAGTGTTCTTTGTGCTCAGCAGAATTCAAGCAGGACAGGGCTGCAGGGCATTCTGAGCCCAGACAGAAATATTCAGCATGAACATTTTTCTTTTGAAAAGCATTAGGTGGTGAAAGATTGGTTTTCAAAATAGATGTTTAGGAGCATATTGAGATTTTAAAATTGATTTGCCCATTCCATAATGGAACCATTTAAGGTAGAACCCTTTTCTTAATTAAGAAAAGTGGTGATGTATGATTGCAAAGCATAGAAAACTAGCAGCTTTGCCATAGCAAAATAAAAACAAGGTATGATACATGTAAGTTACTTTCAGTCTAATTTTTTCTGATTCAAAAAGATGAAAAAGTAAGGAAACAGCAGAGCACATGAAAATATTTTAACTAGCTAAAAAATACCTATTCATTTAACAGCTGGAAAAATATTATTGGGAAAAATAACAAATTATAAAAATGCAAACTATGAGTCAATATTCTGCATCTTTGACCTTGTCATATTTATGAGAAAACAAGTTATGGAAGCAAAGATGACGATTTAGTTTCGAAGTTACTATGGATTTTTGTTGCTTTCAGGAAAGCCATGTTATCCTTGCAGTACGTTTTACCAACAAATATTACACATGGAATTCAAACATCCTATAATAGTAATTCATAATTTAGTGTCTGATTTTTACCTTTGCTTGCTTTGATTCACAGAATTCCTATCTTTCTTTTATTTTTGTTTTAACAGTTCAAAACTAACTATGAAAAGAGAATGTTTAAAGTAGATATTCCATCCAATGACACATCCACAGTGGCTGCTATAATAAGCAATGTGTCAGAAGCAATGGAAACCCTCACTCGAATGAAAGAGGAAATAGTTCCTGTTCCAGGTTCTGTAAATGGAGTGAATGCCCTTGGCCTGGTGGTTTTCTCAATAAGCTTTGGACTGGTGATTGGAAGCATGAAGGAACAAGGTCAGGCATTAAAAGACTTCTTTGATAGCCTTAATGAGGCTATCATGAGATTGGTAGCTCTAATCATGTGGTAAGTGACTCTCTGATAAAGTCCATTTTAAGTTACTACCAATATTTTTTCATCACAGCCAGGCACTGGATAGCAAGAGTCTGTTTGGCAGGAAGTTAGACAATAAGATCTTAAGCACCTTGTAGCTTTGTTTTATAAATGAACCCAAGAACTGTAATTCTGGATGTCAGCAATTTGCCCAAACATGCCTACTCTTCCAGTACATACTTACTCTTCCAGTGTGTTTAGCTTTTGACTTAAGAAAAATAGAGTCTACGGCAGAACTTGCTAAGATTTATGTCTTCATAAAGGTAGCAATCACAACAGCATGTTATCAAAGTTTCCTTATGTCCTAATCTGACTTCTCTGAAGGAAACCGACAAAGCCATCCCATAATCTTATTTCTACACAGCAAGACCTTGTTATCATTAGTTTCCAATACCACTGGTTCCTGCAGTTTTGTAGTGCATATGCATGTCCTTGCATTGTAGCTTCATTGCTTACGTATACACATAATTTTCCTACTTTCTTTATTATGCTTAATAGGTATATAAAATCAATACTTTTTCCCTCAAACATTAGATAAGAAGTTTGTTCAACAATGAAGATTCATTAATTGTCACATAGACAGTTAAGAAAAGAAATTATGTCTTGTTGCCCTCTTTACTACAGAAAACAAACAAACAAACAAATCAACTCCAAAAGCTTACCCAAGAGCACATACACCTGGATACAAAACTAAAAATAAGGGTATTTTTTTCCAGTAACTAAAATTCTGTTCTGCCAGGAAACATGTGTAAAAAGCAAAAATCTTTCCTCCTTCTTTACAATCATGCTTAAGATGATATAGCAGTGGATAGGAATCGTTAATCCTGAGAAATTTCTACATGGATTTGATGGCTTAAAATGCAATTGAGATATGCTGGATAAATTTTATGCTGTGGTAATTTAGCATGAAAAGACAAATGGACATTTATAAAAATAAGGCTATATCAGAAGTCCAGCTGCAGTAGAATTATGTCGAAGTTCTATGCTCAGCACTAGGTCTTTCTTCGTCAGTAGCTGTGCTTACCGATAGGAGAAAAAAGATCATACTACCTTTGTTGCTGCTGCACAACACAATTAACCTCTGTCCTACAGACAGCTTCATGCTGAACTATTTATCCAGTGCCCCACTGGAAAAAATGGGGAATGGCCAGAAGCAGCTTGAAATCATTGGAAGTTATCAGCCTTCTGTGTGGGCTGCTTCCCCAACAACGTGTAAAACAGCACTGACGGCATAATAGAGCTGCGCACTTGGCATAAGCTACAACTATGCCGGTTGAGCCTTTGTTCATACAGACAGAATTATCACAGAATTGGCTAAACTAGCTTTTAAATGACATTTCAAATCCAAAGGGAACTCATCTCCGTACATGTCTGAAAGGCGTGCTATAGATCTTGAAATCCTTGTCAGATCCTGAATACAACAAGGCCTATCAGAAACATTCACTGCTGTGGTTTAATCCAGGTTGAAGTGTTAAGAGTTAAAGAGTTAAACTCTTGAACTGCTTCTGAATAATTGCAGTCAATCTAACAGTGAAATCCTACATTCATGCATGCATATAAACAGAAAAGATATGCTTGAGGGAGTGAATTCCTTCTTTGTTCAGTACAATAATGGTTTGATTTCTTACTTGCAGGTATGCTCCACTTGGAATTCTCTTCCTGATTGCTGGAAAAATTGTTGAGATGGAAGATATGGGTGTGATCGGTGGTCAGCTTGCCATGTATACTGTAACAGTTATCATCGGTTTGCTAATTCATGCTGTCATTGTCCTACCTCTTCTCTACTTCCTGATCACTCGTAAGAACCCTTGGGTATTTATTGGAGGCTTAATCCAGGCATTAGTCACTGCTTTGGGAACATCTTCCAGGTATAATACAATATCTTAAGGCCATATAATTTTTACAATATTATTGGTTTGAGAAACAATTTTGCCTAATGTATTGGATAATTCTGTATTTTAGTATTCACTTGGGTGCTTTATTTCTGTTCTGCTTCTCTCTGACAGATGTAATTATTATTATATTGACTTGAACTCTGTTTTCTACAAGAACCCCTGAACAGAGATTAAATGAGTTTGTTTGGTGATGCAGACTGTATGGCCAGAATCCTTGTGACTTTGATTAGGCTCGGTGTTTGGAAATTTAAGTAGTTTGCAATGGCTTGCTGGTAAAGGATGCAGTTGGCAAAGGATATGCATGGCAAAATGGAGCAGCAAACAGGAAAGTTCATAGGGAATTCTGACAGAGCTTGAGAGCCCTTATTGGCAGCTGGCATTCTGTACTCAAAAGCTTGATGGCCAGTGATGGATATACAACTTGCAACAGAAACACCACTTCTGTTCTTTGTTAATGAAGTCATAGATACATCATAAGAATAAAAAAATTGTTTGCATATATGATGAAAGGAATCATTATTGTAATCAAATATACATTTCTATATCATATGACCCTTTGTAAAACAATTTTCTTTTTGATAGATTTTACAAGAGTCTCCTAAATGTACATGTTTTAAGTCAGACATTCTGTAATACTAAATTCCAGTCCCTGGTGCTTGGGATTATTTTGAACATCTGGATGAGAAGCTATTGTGAACCAGTAATGTAGAATCTGATTAAGTTTTTTATCACTGAAAAAGCTCTAGGAGTGTACATTAATAGGTAGAGGGGGATAATTACTAATTTCACATTTAACATTTTCATGTCAATCCTTGCAAGATTATGGAATGCCTGAAAGGGAATTTAATTACTAATAATTTTTAAAAGAAGATTATAAAACTAATGCCAGTCAACATAGTTTAAGAGAAAATAAAATGAAACTACAACTTTGGTGTGTAACAATAATAATGTTAAGAGGTTGTGTTCCAGCTTCTCTAAGACTTTCCACTTGGCGCTACTCAAGATTCTGAGTAAGAACCTAGGTTGATTCAAGAGAGTGTATTATACTGCAAGTGGATTTAAAAGCTGTTTAAAATTCAACTGTAAGTTGACTGTCATCAAAGAGATTTTCTAGCACAGTCCTCCTCTTTACATTTTATCAGTATTTTGTTTTATCAATATTGACATAGTTTTCAAAGACTTGAAATCTCTTAAGTAGCTAGCAGTGAAGAGGTCACTAAGACAGGGTAATCTGAAAAGCTGGGTCTTGAAAAAACTCGTTACTTTGGTGTGATCGGATGTAGAGATACATCTTTAAGAAAAAAAGAGTCCAGACAGCTCTTACAAAATGGCCTCCTTATCCTTCCTTCTGATGCAGTGTCTCTGAAAAGGAACTTGGCGTCATGGGGGCGAAATGGGCGCTACTGTAGCATACGAAGCCAAAATATTCAATTGGTTTGGTCTTCAAATGAAATTATCATCATTTGTATTGTATTTGGATGTAGCATCAGGGGAACAAGACTAAGTGGTGTACAGGGCCTGGCTAGGACAGAGTTAACTTTCTTCATAGCAGCTCCTACAGTGCTGTGTTTCAGATCTGCGACAAAACACTGATCACACACTGATGTTCTGACTATTGCTGAATAGTAGTTGCACAGCATCAAAGCCTTCTCTGTTTCTAACTCTAACCCCACAGTGAGTAGATTAAGGGGTGTGGAAGAGGTTGGGAGGGCACACAACCAGGCAGATGACCCAAACTAACCAAAGAGATATTCCATGATATGTAACATCTTGCTCAGCAATAAAAAAGGAAAAGAGGGAATTTTAGTGAAGCTAGACATCTTTTACTTGAGAACTCATTGGGCATTGGTCTATCTGTGGAAGGTGGTGAGTGATTGCCTTTGCATCACATGTTTTGTTTTGTTTTCTTTCCCTCTTCTTCCACTATCCTTCACTTACAAAACTTTTTTTTAATCTCAGTTCCTACATTTTCTTGATTTTACTGTTCCTTCTTCTTTGCCTGTCCCACTCAGGGTGTGGGGACGAGTAAGCAAGCGGCTGTGTGATGCTTACCTGCCTACTGGTGTTAACCCAATGGTAAAGCAATACAATCGTCCACCAAAATTACCTTTCCAGGGAAGCCAGCAAATAAATAAGAGAAAACATGCTGTTTACTGAAGGCTTGAATAGCTCAATTTATATAACTTTAGGAAAACAACACTTAGGGATGACTCAATCATGACTCCATGACATAAAAAATGAGAAACAGGAATGTTTAAATAGATTCTTCTGCCTAGCAGACAAAATACTGAAGTTAGACAGATTCAGACTAGGGACTACATAAAGAGTGACAGTAATTAACCATCGGAAAAACTTTCCAAGAGCATTAGAAAAACCTCCACCATTATAAGTGTTTAAATTCAGCCTTTGCATTTTTAAAAAAAAGTTCTGGTAGATCACATAAAAATTAAGACAGAACAATCTCTCCTGACACTCTTTTCATTCACTTTTTGAAGAATTTATATCCTGTATTATCTTCTTTTTTCCATTTCAGTTCTGCAACACTACCTGTTACATTTAAGTGTCTAGAAGAAATAAATGGAGTAGACAAACGAGTTACAAGATTTGTACTCCCAGTTGGTGCTACAATTAATATGGATGGAACTGCTTTATACGAGGCTTTGGCTGCAATTTTCATTGCACAGGTTAACAACTTTGAACTGAACTTTGGACAGATTATCACAATCAGGTACAGAAGCCATTATTACCCACATTTAATAAAAACACCTTTATGATGACTCCTTATTGCTGTTATATGTGGGATTAAACAAAAGCATCTATAGCTAAAACCAAGAACTGCTACAGTAGCTCACTAACTGTAATAATTTACATCTTCTGAACAGAAGAGGTCCCCAAGCATATATTCTCCATTAGGTAAACCTTTAAAAAGCTGTAACATGACACACCTACCACTGCACTTGGTAGAGTCAACAAGAACAGTTTTTAATGACTTTTAAATTTTCTTTCTGAAGAACTCATGCAGCTGTTCAGAGGTATAGACTTACAATCCATACCAGCTAGTTTATAATGTGTGTACAAAGCTGTAGAATAAAAGCTTTACAGTGCTAATGCTAGGAGAGCTAGTGCTTTACTAACGGTTTCAGGATACAAGTAGAGCAAGCTGCACAAGGAACAATAACACCATTTATTACATGAGATGGTAGAGGAGGAGAAGATAGGTATATTCTCAAGCACACAAGCCTACATGTTTGAAACAGAACAGCAAACAACCCTCTAAGTAGCACTCGATGATAACCGATCTGCGTTAATTTTGTTATATTACTCAAACAGTTTAGGAGAAGAGGGTGATGGTACACCTGCAGAAGAAAGAAATGTCAGCAAGGTGAGAGAGGGACACTGTAGGAGATAGAGACATGTATTTATCAGTCAGGAACACTGAGTGGAACACTGAAAGTTCAGATATGATGAACTGGGAATGTAGATTTTCAAGAATTGCTTCTCCATGAAAACCACCAGCTTAATTTAATCTTGATCAACAGCAGGCAAAACACTGCCTTCACACTCCAAAGCAATAGTTCCTCATTCCTTAGTACTAGAGCTGATCCCTGCCAAATCACCTGGCAAAACAAATTCTTCCTAAACCAGGTGTGAACAATATTTCTATCAAGTTACTAGACTGTATGATTCAGGGTTTCTGGCAGCTTTCTGTCTTCTGATGACATAATGCCAACTGCTGGAGGACAGATACTTCACCTGGTATGAAGTAATAGTGAGATGGACAGAGAATAAAAGTTCTTGCACTAGACCTGCCAGGACAAAATTACCTCCTCAGCTTTTCTTTTCACATGTTTGAGCTTGTGGATTGAGTTTGTTCAGTGGGTGGGGGCATGTAGCTATAGTGGTTTTGTCTGGCCCTTAGCATCTATTAGGGGATTTATCACCTTAGCAAAATCATGTTTTGAAGGTTCTGGATAAAGGTTTAGGGTAAATATCTTGGATTCAGATCCACACACCCCTGCAGCTATGCAGTGTTCAGATAAGGGACTTGACTCATCTTTTCACTTACTACTGAGCAAATGCCTTCTTGCTTCATATCTGTTTTTAATGTTTGTCAGATGATAAAGAAACTTTACGAAGGAAGTCAATTAATTGCTCTTGCTATCTTCTTGCACAGCATCACAGCTACAGCTGCCAGCATTGGGGCTGCAGGCATTCCTCAAGCTGGACTTGTCACCATGGTCATTGTGCTTACATCAGTAGGTTTGCCTACAGATGACATCACTCTTATCATCGCAGTGGACTGGTTCTTGTAAGTATTTTTGTGGAGTCAGTAAGGGCTTAGACCATATTTAGAAGTCCAATAGCCAGGGACATTCTGGCAATACTGCAATCAGTGGTGCGCTTCTTTTGCTGTGGAAGGCAGTTGGAAAGAAGTGTTTAAAAAATCACAGTCCTTGGAATTAATATATTATCTTAGAGCAGACAATTACTTAATGATGGTTAGGGAGTTACTTAATGATGGGGTGTTCTTTAATGATGGTAACTCTAGTATGCAACAGGGTTATTTAGAAACCTGGATCCCTAGGGTACCAAGAAAACTTTCACACACACTGTAATTAAATTAGCAAAGAATTGCTTTAGTTTTCTGGTTTTTGTAGGATGGTAATGAAAACCTTTCCACCAATCTGGCTCAGAGCTGTCCAGATCTGACTCAGTTCATTGCAGCCCTGATGACTGTCTAATCTAAGAAAGGTTCATAAGTCTACCCCATGGACACAGAAATGAAAAACAGTTGTGTAACTCTCTTATTTGCCGCTCAGTTTTTCCAATTCTCTGTCTGTAGAAGACTAACTGACACCTGTAGGTATATGGGGAAATCCCTTAGGTCCAGGAACTAAATCAAAGGCATAAGGGTTCCTCCAACATGCATTTTGTCTAACCCCTATTAGTTACAGTTTCCAGAGGCTTTTACCCTTCAGTCTTCTCAGGTGATCCCTGCAAGAAATTGCCTGTGTTGTTATTAGAATATAACGTCTTCATATGACTATCCAACCACTTGCCCACAGCCTTATCTAGGTGGACGCTTACTGAGTAACAGTTCTAGTCACCCCTCATCAAGCTGCCTCCTACATCTTCTGGGCAGCGCTCTCTCAGAGGGCTGAATTGTTGTAATTTAATTTGAATTAGTTCATCAGAATTCCATCCTAAATTACCGATCCTAGTTACTATGGTCAGGAGGGATACGACCATAACAAGGTAGATTCTCGTTGGCTTGCGTGTTCAGAGGATAAACACGCAAACCACCAGAGGATAGAAATGCCTCCGATAAGCATCTGCCATTTGCTCCATTCCTCTTCCTCATCACACAGCTGTTTCTGTCTCTGAAGTTGCCAAGAGTATTAACACATTTTGTGACTTCAAATCCCAGCATATATGTCAATTTCTGTAGAAGAAATCATGGCAACAACAGTTCAGATAAATGAATATACATAAAATAGCTGAAAAATCTAGTAGCTATCTAAAGGCCATTTTAACTGCCAGTCTGCTTGCTTCCCTGAGAAAGTGGTGAAACCAAGGCTAACTCATTATTACTTCTTAGGGATCGCCTCCGTACCACTACCAACGTCTTGGGAGACTCCATTGGAGCAGGAATTGTTGAACATTTATCACGACATGAGCTGAAGAACAGGGATGCTGAAATGGGTAATTCTGTGATAGAGGAGAATGAAATGAAGAAACCATACCAACTGATCTCACAAGAAAATGAGAGTGAGAAACCATTAGACAGTGAAACCAAGATGTAGGGTAAAGAAAGCATGAGTCCAGTACTGCAGGTGTGGAAAATACTTTTTCCAGCCATTTATATCTCGAGTTCACGAAGTTCACTTATTCTTTGTTTTCTCCCTTTATGCTAGCACTGGAAAGAATTAATGAAAATACATTCCAAATCAGCAGTGATCATGGTATATGTTGGGTTCCCACTTAAAAAAAAATCAACAGGCAACAACACTGGTCCTGCTAGACAAGTGCTAACTGAGGATAAGAAAAGAGAGATTGTTAGTTAAACAAAAACAAAAATCAGAGTAGATGTTACTCAGTCCCATGAACCTTTTTTTTTTAATGAACTGGAACAAAAAAACAGATCACAGAGCCTGAAAATGCTTATATTTTTTTAAATACCTGTTTCTAACATCTATAAACAGGCAATCAACACTTCTAACTTGGTAACTATATCCAGCTAAATAACTTCACAGGATTCTTGCTTTTTATCTGATTTTTTTCTCTAGTGTTATACTGTTGTTCAGATACTAGCAGGACAACAAAAAGGACATTAATTGAAAGGATAAAAATGGGGAAGATACATAAACGAAAAAAAATACTCTTAATCAGCACTTTTACCAGCTGAGTTGAAATATTTCTGAGAAAGTTATTTTATCTAGATGCAGTTTGTCACATTAGCCCCAGCTGGTCTCAACAAAAAATTAGCCTGGTCAGCTCCCACTGACTTGCAAAAATTTACATATGTATGTATGTACCTCCAATCTGGATTTGCCTCCTTAATTTCAGCATCACAACCCAGCTGAACAATCCATGTATGTAAGCATTTGTAGCAGCAAGGCCCTAGGCTGTATTGACTCTGGGACAGAAAATATGTCTTCATCTCTGTTTAGAAAAAAACATAGCATGCTCTGGGTACGCCAGTTACCTACTTAACAAGCAATAATAAGAACAGCAGGCAGTGCCAGCCTTCTGCAGAACGTGCAGAAGAGTGAGATGCTTAGATCCTAAAGGGACTGCATTCTAAATCTGCATCCCTGAGACCAACAGGAGGTTTTCTGATTGGAAACCTCCCCAGTGCTTGGTCATCTCACTGGTAAGTTATAGAGCTATTAGCTGGATTTACATTTTTCCATCTGGAGAAGGAGGCTCCCCATCTCAATGTGAAATATTTAAATCCTTGTGTGTTTATCAGTAGCATCTCAAAAAGAAAAAAATCTTTTAGAAAGTAAAACTAATGGGTGCTTTTTTACTTTTTACTAGGAAAAATATACACATTGCAAAACAGTAAATACTATAATAAATGTCGAAATTTTACTTAGAAAGTATTTTAAAGCGCAATATTAGAAGTTTCTTTCAGGGAATGGACAAGGAAAGAATGGAAAAAGGGAGATATTGCATTTGTAATCCTGTGGCTTTTTTTGTTCATTTGAAGATTATTTCCTGATGAAGTCCTTTTCTAGAAATATAAATTACGTATTTTTTTCTTTTTGCTTTGTATTATTATAGAGGTTAAACTGGAAAGTTTTATAATGCAGTTACAGCCAGGGAAATGAAAAAATATTAATTGACAGGCACAATAGTGTTAAGTGATCTTGTTCATTAAAATGTTTGGTTGTCTTCTTTCTCCTTCCCCCTACCAAAAAATTCTGATGATGGAAATGAAGGAGTCCCTTGCAATGTCCCAGCTGCCCCTCAAAAACCAGTCAACATGTTGCCTCTGTCACTAAAAGAACATAAGTACCATGTAAAAATAACTGAAGTGAAAATGTCAGTATGCTGGTTGAAGGCAAACCTTTTCCCAGGCAAGACTGCCTTTAAAGACTGAAAACTCCTGCCCATCTTCTCCAGTTGAGTAACTCAGACAATACAAGCAGCAACTCTCCAGTGAATGAAGTGAACAGGGTTTAATATAGAGTATTGAGCAGTCAAACCAACAAAGCTCTAAATGAACCTCTGACTGAGAGGAAACACATATGGGGGATTTTTTTGCTAACAGAATGCAAATGTAGGATACACACAGGCATTTTATGATATGTAATTAGAGATATTTTTATATAGATACTGTATTCAGAATGTGTGTATAAACATTAACTGTAGAATTTATGGCATAACAGTTTAATTTCTTGTTATGATTTTGTTTGGAAATACATTGCAAAGACAATGTAAATGGCTGTCTTTCTCTGACATCAGCTGAGAAAAATGAATTGTGTCACAAAGAATGTGATCTTTTTTTATACTAACTTTGTTTCTTATGGAAATCAGGTATTATAGAAAGATTCCCTTCCCCATCCCTCACTGGTTCTGCATTGGTATGCACCGAGAGTGGATTGAGAAACATTACTTTGTAGATGTATTTTCAATAAAAATAGTTTTACATTACTGCTTTTTTGTGATTTAGAATTTCTTTCAAAGGCTCTGTGATAGAAGCTTCTCACAAACTCAGAGCCAATGAACTCAGCATGTGGTTTCAGGAATTCCACATCAGGAATTTTATACAGCAGGGCATTGATATTGCAGGGCTTCCTCACTTCAAATACCTGCGTACAGTTTCAAGATCAAAAATAAATAAGTAAAGGGGGGCAGGGAGGAACATTAAAAATCAAAAGAACCAATGTTCATCCTACTTAGGTTCATCCAAATTCAAGAATATAAATTCATACTGATATCTGCAAAATACTAACAAAGAAGTGTTTACATTTTCATTGATTCAGCTACTGCAAAGCAGCATGTTCATTTTAGGTGTGTAATTAGATGGTCCAAAACGCCCATTGACTGCGGTATTACAGCGTCATAGCATTACAACCATCCTAGACAATATACTGTTTTTCTCACAGAAGTGTTTTGTAGTGGTGTCAGGGTTCAGTCAGCAACAATATCAGCTAGCAGTTATCTCTTTATGGAAGCGAATGTCTTGTCAGAAGGACTGGGAAAGTATAAAAAACACAAGCTGAATGACTTGCATCTGGAAAGTTGTGCTGCTTGGAGCAGATGGAGGCAGTGAGAAGTCCTGCCTTCCTGATCATACACCAACAAAATACTGGACAATGACCTCTAGGAATTCATCTGGGGTATCTTGAGTGAGAACAATATATAATGCAACCAGTGCTGTAAAAAAAAAAAAAAAAAAAAAAATCAGAGAAGACATAGTGTTCTAAAGTGCACGAGCATAACTTTTCCCAATTTTTGATAGTTATCTACACATATATTCACTCAGTCCAGGTAAGTATCTTTGTGTTTCTAGAATTACTATCACGAAGGGAAGAGCTAAAGAAAGAGGATTAGTGTAGCAGTTGGGAGATATTACTGGCACGGTGGCCTTGCTTACTCTTCTCTGCCTCCATGCAGAATAAAGATCTCCGGTATTCCCTAATTTTTCAGCAGTGTTTTCATTTGGAAGTTGGAGTATGAAACAGCCATGCCATTCTTAGGCAAGAATTTATGCTTCTGTAACAGTGTGTGGCCAGTATAAAGCAAAGTGATCATGCATGTGGAAAATCAATTACTGGCACAGGAAACTATTTCTGTTTTCCCTTCTGAAGGACTGAATTTGCACAAGTGACATTTGTGTTCCAATGCAGGCACAACCAATAAGAAATTTAGGGCTTTTTTTTTTCAACTAACCATGCAACACGTGCTTTGTTTAATGAAGTTACAATGGAAATGGTACTGAAGAGTATATCTTGCTTCTAGTGTGATGAACAGTGTGCTAGTTGTGCTAGTCATGATTAACAGTGTGTGACCAACTTCCTTACAGTGTGATCAACCATTTCCCAGAACAGCATAAAAAATCTGAGGTGAACTGATAGATCTCTCACAGAATCACAGAGTCACAGAATGGTAGGGGTTGGAAGGGACCTCTGTGGGTCATCTAGTCCAGCCCTCCTGCCAAAGCAGCGTCAACTACTGCAGGCTGCAAAGTACTTGTCCAGGCGGGTCTTGAATATCTTCAGAGAAGGCGAATGCACAGCCTCCCTGGGCAGGCTGCTCCCGGGCT